TTTTTTTCCTACAACGTCTCGTGAGTAATGTGCAGTACCAGAGTCCAACAGAGAGGCAGCAGCTGCGGGACAGTAGCCTAGAAGTGATCCTTCGTTAGCGTGAAGAGTCTGCTAAGCTTTATGCGCTCCGCAGTCCCCCCCCCCGGTCAACAACTTCAAAATTCTGGGCTATATATAAAATTCGCTGGCCCTCGAAAGTGTCTATTGGATACATTTTGGCCCTTGGACAAATGCAGTTGGTGATCCCTGATGTTCAGGTGTATATCCGTATGTAGTGTCTCTACTTTAAAGAGTCCTCTCCTGCTGATGTTCAGGTGTATATCAGTATGTAGTGTCTCTACTTTAAAGAGTCCTCTCCTGCTGATGTTCAGGTGTATATCCGTATGTAGTGTCTCTACTTTAAAGAGTCCTCTCCTGCTGATGTTCAGGTGTATATCAGTATGTAGTGTCTCTACTTTAAAGAGTCCTCTCCTGCTGATGTTCAGGTGTATATCAGTATGTAGTGTCTCTACTTTAAAGAGTCCTCTCCTGCTGATGTTCAGGTGTATATCAGTATGTAGTGTCTCTACTTTAAAGAGTCCTCTCCTGCTGATGTTCAGGTGTATATCAGTATGTAGTGTCTCTACTTTAAAGAGTCCTCTCCTGCTGATGTTCAGGTGTATATCAGTATGTAGTGTCTCTACTTTAAAGAGTCCTCTCCTCCTGATGTTCAGGTGTATATCAGTATGTAGTGTCTCTACTTTAAAGAGTCCTCTCCTCCTGATGTTCAGGTGTATATCAGTATGTAGTGTCTCTACTTTAAAGAGTCCTCTCCTGCTGATGTTCAGGTGTATATCAGTATGTAGTGTCTCTACTTTAAAGAGTCCTCTCCTCCTGATGTTCAGGTGTATATCAGTATGTAGTGTCTCTACTTTAAAGAGTCCTCTCCTGCTGATGTTCAGGTGTCTATCAGTATGTAGTGTCTCTACTTTAAAGAGTCCTCTCCTGCTGATGTTCAGGTGTATATCAGTATGTAGTGTCTCTACTTTAAAGAGTCCTCTCCTCCTGATGTTCAGGTGTATATCAGTATGTAGTGTCTCTACTTTAAAGAGTCCTCTCCTGCTGATGTTCAGGTGTATATCAGTATGTAGTGTCTCTACTTTAAAGAGTCCTCTCCTGCTGATGTTCAGGTGTATATCAGTATGTAGTGTCTCTACTTTAAAGAGTCCTCTCCTGCTGATGTTCAGGTGTATATCAGTATGTAGTGTCTCTACTTTAAAGAGTCCTCTCCTGCTGATGTTCAGGTGTATATCAGTATGTAGTGTCTCTACATGTCTCCATGCTGTAATGTTCAAAAAGCTCTTTATTTTCTCATACTGCCTGTGCTGCAGCACCTCTTTTCACCCTCTGTCTGAAACCAGAGCCCAGTCTGCTCTGATTGGTCAGCTGGCCGGCTCTGTTGTGATTGGTCAACCGCTTATGTCCCGCCCCTTTAGTCTATCTCGTACAATTAGCTGGAGATCTAGCCAATAGAAGCACGAGTATTACATATTTAAGCCTTTGCTGACCATTGACATGCACACCAACCTTTATAACACGCTACAGTGGAGGGGAAACCCCACAAAGTATAATAGGGTCCCTTTAAAGATGCAATAGACATGTGTATACTATAACATAAACGTTGATGACTTGGTCTGAATAAGTCTCGTATTTTGAGTCTTTATGCTCATCTCGGCTAATGCATTTTCATTTCATTTCATTGTTTATTTGAACAGACACGTAACTTAAGACAAGTAATGCTCCAAGTGTAAATATGCCAGATTTGAACTTTGAGCTCATTTCCATCCATAGTCCCGTCACATACAACATATAAGAACATGACATTTATATACATTGCAAAAATAAATACATGATATGCAGAAAGACCATGAGCAGCATACACACGTATTTACCACATGGCAGTACAATGTAGCAGCTACGACATATAAAGTGCAGGAGGAGATACCCCTGTGTTAAAGTGCAGTTAGCGGTGACCGCACGTCTGGTTGTTTCTCAACCATTCTTTGAGTTGACCTTTGAAGCTATTGAGAGTGGGACGATCCCGTATCTCAGTTGGGAGGCTGTTCCACAACGAGCTGCCTTTAATGGAGAGGACACTTTGTCCAAAAGTGGTCCGTCTGCGGTGGACTTCAGTCTCCTCTGGTTTCTGACCGAGTGCAGCGTCCAGTGTGTTTTATGTGGATGAATTCCCCTAAGGGAGGGGGGGGGGGGGGCAGTCCATGTAAACATTTATAAATAAAACACATACTTTTAAAATACTTTAAATAGTTTTTTCAAGGATGGTACAGTGGTGGTATGAATGAGGCTTTCTGTCAAACACCTGGATAGCTCTCTTGTGCAGCTGTTCTCTGGGTTTCAGGTTTGTGGCACAAGCAACGACCAGTTTGTGAAACAGTATTCAATGTGGGCTAGAATCATGCAGTGGAGGTATGACTTTGCAGCATTGACAGTTAAGAAGGGTCTAATTTGTTTAAAATGTTGCAAGTTGAATTTAATAGTGTTGGATGTTAGGGAAATAATTTGCTTAGGTATTCAACCTTTGACACAGTTCATAATTTTCTCCTCTCACTGCCTCCTTTCCCACGGCATAGGTCTACGGCCTTGGGTATTGCTGCTATCTCTCTTAAGGAGGCGCAGCTTGGGCGCATTGTTGTTGCCAGTCTATGACAGAGCACAAGCCGCCATGAGGTAGTTTACTGTTCAGGGACGTAGGTTCCCTGACGCACATTCTTTTCTATGGACGAGAGCTCTAGTTAGATTCAGGATCCATATTGCTTTAGTCTCACTGATGAAGAATGTTGATTATTACACTCCAAACTAGTTAAAACCTCGAGCTACAGAAAGAGTTCTTCAGAATTGGTTTGGCAACCGCTGTGTCAACTCGTGACACACCACCTGTCTCGTCAACTCTCCGGCCGAAACTCCAAATAAACCATCAGTGTTTGACATCAAAGCTCCAACTCTCCTCGTGTCTCTCTGAGTCCTGACTCTCCATTGCTGCAGAAGTTTCCCTTACATTGGATACTTTCTTGATATGTTTCTTAAAAATGATTGATTGATTGAAAAGTTTATTAACAGCTTGTATATTGGGTACAGTACAGTACAGCTCAAAACATACAATTGTTAAGGGGATGCAGACCAGAGAAAGACTTTCGTCTTGTTTACATCAGGGTCCCCCATTTCCAATTCATCATATCATTTAAGACATATAAGACATATAAAAAAAGTCAAGTTCGAGTCCAGTATGACTCCAAGATACTTGAAGAGGGGGACTAGTTATATTTCTGCTCTGTTTAAAAACATGTTGGATCCTTCGATTTTGACTGGTCGTTTTCTGAACATCATGCATACTGTTTTTTTTACGTTTAACTGTAAGCAAATGTTGTTCAGCCAGTGTTGAACCTTGCCCAAAGCATTAGAGTCAAATCAAATCAAGTTTTATTTATATAGCACATTTATAAACGATTTTTGGTGGAGCCAAAGTGCTGAACATAAAATAAAAATAGCCTACAGTAGAGACACTTTACAGCAAATACAACAGCACAGATTGTTCAGAATATCAGTATGAGAAAACAACACCTCTGTCCTTAGACCCTCTGTCCTTAGACCCTCTATCCTTAGACCCTCTGTCCTTAGACCCTCTGTCCTTAGACCCTCACATCGTACAAGGAAACACTTCCAGAGAAACCCCACAGTTTAAAGGGGACATGGGAGAAACCTCAGGGAGAGCAACAGAGGAGGGATCCCTCTCCCAGGACGGGCAGACGTGCAATAGATGCCGTGTGTAAACACTTTACAGCATATAGACCGAATGTTAGGAAATGCATGTGTCTGTAATAAGAAGATGAATCCACGAGGATGTCAGCTACAATCCTACAATTAGAGAGACAGGATGAGATTAGTTCAGTCTGCTCCCCGTGTATAAAGATGACCGCATCTAGCTATGTATCTGCCACAGACAGACAAATCTTCTCTTGAAAATTCCATTTAATATCCAGGTTTTCTTTTTGAGCTAAACACCATTTATATCCAGGGGAATTTAAGGATCAACGAATATTCTTATTATTTGCATCTATTGCTTTGTAACCAAAATCTGCTTCACAAATTAAAACACAGAGTGATGGGCAGCAGTGTCTCTGAGCAGATGATGACTCAGCATTGTGTCTAATGGAAAGCTTTTAGCTGCCTTCGCTTCCTCCCACAGGGGGAGATAAACCCACACCTTAAACAATACCAACCCTGCAGCTACCTGGCTTACATCTTATCGACACTTCATACTTTACTCTTTTTTATCTTTGTCGTCCTTTGCTTGTAATGTTTTTCATATCTCATTTTTTTCTAACTCATTCTTGTTCCTCTTTCTTCACCACCCCATCTTCCATTAAAATGTGTTGTTGGCTTTCCTGTCTCACCTCTAAGTGGTCAGATAGCTCGGAAAGCTTGTGTATGTTAGGAATGAAAGCTTTCCTGAGCGCTCGTGCTGCATGCTAAATGGTTTATCCAGCTTCCCGGCCCAGACTGAGGTGTTGCGGTATTGTTGGATTTGTTACGTTTTTGTTATTAATGACAGACGGTGCTGGAATGATGTTTCTATTCTCTCCTGCTATGAGGCTAATATCTAGAGATTCGCAATACTCTCGATGTTTCATGAGTGCCAATAATCACTGCCTCTCGCCATCTGTCTAGCTAAATAATTTATTCCACCTTCAGAAATCTCTGAATTACTGCAGTTTTGTACTTAATGAGTCTGCTGCTAACACCTGTTGTCATTCACACTTATTCAAGTATTGGTAGTTTTTGCTCATCTTGAAAATTGACGCTTACGTTTTTTAAGACCAGCTTTTTTCCTAGTATTTTTAGCGAAGAGACGATATGTAAACCTCTCTATTTAAGACGCAACAACCTTCACTAATGTGTATTGAGATATTTATTTCTAATCTTGATACCTGATTTTCTTGCAGGAAGTATAAAGGGAGCGACAATAGTGGATGCTCTGGATACTCTCTACATCATGGAGATGTTTGAAGAGTTTGACGCTGCTACGGACTGGGTGGAGAAGAACCTCGACTTTAATGTGGTAAGTGTGTGTGTGTGTGTGTGGTGGTGGTGTGTGTGTGTGTGTGTGTGAACTCGCTTCCACAAGCTATTCAGTCAATAGAGGCTTGACTCATTGACGTCAGTGGTAGAGAGGATCCTTGAAAGACCTTTAACGTCCAATTGTTTTTTTTTCCGATTTTGTCACGATGTAATTCAAGACATGCAAACAAAAACAAAATGTGGCGTCCTTCATCCGACTCAGGGCCGGCCCTTGGCATAGGCAGTATAGGCGAATGCCTAATTTATAAATATCTTATACTAACATAACTACGCCTATTCAGGGCTGCACATAACTGGTGCGCATGCGCACCTCCGCCAAAAAAAGAGCACCGGGTCATTTGAAAAAAGGCGCATTTGTGTACCAACATTGAGAGAGAGAGAGAGGGAGAAGAGAAAAGAGAGAGAGGAGATAGAGAGGAGAGAGAGAAAGATATTTGCGAGTTGCATATGATTCCGACTTACTGGAGGTGAAATATAACAGCAATGTAAGCAGCTACAGTATTCATAGTTTTTAGTATGTATACATTGTCATCGGTTGCTTTTCCCTAGTAAACATCCTAGGTTTCTTGATTTCCCAGCAGCATTTGAACGCAACATTTCATACCAGTATTTGGGCGTTTCAGCCAAATCTATTTGTAATATTTTGTGAGTAAAATAGCATTCTGCTTCCAGCAATGTAGTTTGAGGCGTTAGAAAACATCACTTTCCAAAATAAACGTTTGATCAGAGAAAGCGGGGGCAGGAAGTTTAATGTCAATATTACATGATGAAAGTATTACAACAAGATGTAATGGTTACAAGTGAAACTGACACATCTCTCTTGAAGTATCTATATATATTCTGTTGTTAGCTGTGTGTGTAACCAACATCGTGCCGTCACCAAGGACAACAACGGCACAGGTTTCTCATTAAAACTCTGAGAAACTCTTGAACCGTTTGAAAGCTCCTTGCCAAGGACATATGATTTTACGCATGACTCCCACGGCCCATAAACTATTTATCTAAAGCTTATGAAATGGAGAAAATGCTTGCTCACCTTGGAAACTTGATGCCACTTTTTAAATGAAGCCTGAAAGACATGTCAATTACTTTTAATGGCAAGAAAAAAGGAAAATATCTGACTTTAGAGATGATATCAAGCTTAAAAAACATGACTTAGCAAAAGCATTTAACACATACATAGTGAACATAGTGATATCACTACCTTAGACTCGCGCTTCTATTGGCTCGCGCTCCAACACATTGTACGAGATAGGCTAAGGGGCGGGACTTCTCTAAGCGGTTGACCAATCACAACAGAGCCGGCCAGCTAACCAATCAGAGCAGACTGGGCTCTGGTTTCAGACAGAGGGTGAAAAGAGGTGCTGCAGCTCCGGCAGTATGAGAAAAATAAAGAGCTTTTTGAACATTAAAGCATGGAGACATGTCACAGTAGAGGCACTACATACTGATACACACCTGATGAGCAGCATGGGGCCCCTTTAAGAGAGACGACACACGATAAGCAGGGAGATAGGTGATTGAATATTGAAAGCCAGAGTGTGGGTTGTGGAAGAATAATCAGTGTCAATACACTAATTTCCTGTCATCACACACACACACACACACACACACACACACACACACACACACACACACACACATACACACACACACACACACACACACACACACACACACACATAATTATTTTAACCTTGTTCACATTCTTGCTTTACTTTTCCTTGTTAATATACTTTTTTACTCTAACCTCTTATGGTTGTATATTTACATCTATTTGACATTTTATTGCATATTGTAACTTGAACTTCTTACGTTTATTTACAAATTGTTATTCGGTTTTATTATATTTGATCTTTTATTGGATATTTTACATTACCTTATTATGTTTATACACATATTTTTATTTTACTTTTTTATTGTAAATTCGTACTTTAACTTCTTATGTTCATATACCTACTTTTATTCTATAGGACTTCTTGGATAAATGTCTTCAATGACTTTAATAACACCGTTAGCATTTTGATCCATTACCAGCAGAGCCCATTAGAAGCTGAGATAATTGTTTCTAACATTGTAATCATGCTGGCATCGGAAAATGACATTAGGTTTCCTATCACGTCATTAAGGACACATTAACCACATCAAATATTAAACACCCAGCAATTTGCAGCTCATTATGTGCATTATATAATTTCCTGATTATAAAATCATCATATTGCATTTATAATGCCTTATGTTAGGAAAATATCTGATTAAAGTTAATTGAAGTTTAAAGTGTGATTTATAATTCTCACATTTTATGACTCATTTTCTAGCTTAGATAGGGGGATGGAAAAGTGCGGCAACATCAAGGCCTTTTCACACACACACACACACACACACACACACACACACACACACACACACACACACACACACACACACACACACACACACACACACACACACACACACCTCTTTATGGATAAGTAAGAGAAATCGAACTCTCCTGTGTTTGATATGAGCTTGCTTTCTACTTTAAGATTGTTTTCTAGCTTAGTTTCCATGCATTCTTTATTTCACGCCCATGGCAAAATAGTAAGCCATTAACCTTCTATTTTTTAGTGGCTAAGCATACAAAATATTACACTTAAGAGTTAAGACCCTGGGGAAATCTTACATGGACAATTTAGAATCAGCTCAATGACATAACGTGTAGATATATCTTCAAAAAAAGCACAAACTCACACTTTGATGTATGCTTTAATTGTAAAAGCATTATCATTATAATATCCCCGTTAAGAGCTCCTCATTAAGAAGAAAACAATGTCTCCAAGTGTAGTCGTAACTGCGAATATTCCTGATATTATATAAGGTATTGCTTCCTCGGCCAAAGAATGTGTACATGAAGCATGCTATAATATAGTCAAATATGCCTTCAGGTGAGCGTTAATCCTCCTTACTGTTCTGAATGCAACATTTAGATGTGTAAGCTTTCACACCTGCTTTTCCCAGCAGCCCCCTGTGCATCATTCAGAGCTTTCCAGCAGCAGTGGTCCTATCATTCAAACAGCATCGTCACAGCAGGAGGTCCGTTGTTTTCTGATGTGCTGAGTTCACTTGCTGCTGTAGAATAACGTTGACACTTAGCGATACCTTTAATACCCCGCACTCTTTCTGCATAGCTTTAGAATAAGTGCTTTTTAAAGACGAGGCTGTAACTGTGAAGCACCATGGGAAGGCAACATTTTAATCCATTTAGGTTTCCTAATGTTACTAAAGAGGCATTAAAGTGTTTTAATACATTTAGACATTTCGTCTCACTTACTGTTCCTGGAGACATTTCTCTGAAAGGTTGCTTGGACAACATTGATTTTATTGCATCTGACAGCAACCTAAGTTACATGGTAGTGATTGCAATACATAAATATGACATTGTCGTGAAGAAATGAAAGGTCCCCTAATATGAAAAATCCACTTGTTCATGTCTTTTATACATCACCATGTGTCCCCTCTTCTTCATGTCTCTTCTACATCAACATGTGTCCCCTCTTCTTCATGTCTCTTCTACATCAACATGTGTCCCCTCTTCTTCATGTCTCTTCTACATCAACATGTGTCCCCTCTTCTTCATGTCTCTTCTCATCAACATGTGTCCCCTCTTCTTCATGTCTCTTCTACATCAACATGTGTCCCCTCTTCTTCATGTCTCTTCTACATCAACATGTGTCCCCTCTTCTTCATGTCTCTTCTACATCAACATGTGTCCCCTCTTCTTCATGTCTCTTCTACATCAACATGTGTCTCCTTGTTCTTCATGTCTCTTCTACATCAACATGTGTCCCCTCTTTCTTCATGTCTCTTCTACATCAACATGTGTCCCCTCTTCTTCATGTCTCTTCTACATCAAATGTGTCCCCTCTTCTTCATGTCTCTTCTACATCAACATGTGTCCCCTCTTCTTCATGTCTCTTCTACATCAACATGTGTCCCCTCTTCTCCATGTCTCTCTACTATCAACATGTGTCCCTCTCTTCTTCATGTCTCTTCTACATCAACATGTGTCCCCTCTTCTTCATGTCTCTTCTACATCAACATGTGGTCCCTCTCTTCTTCATGTCTCTTCTACATCAACATGTGTCCCCTCTTCTTCAGTCTCTTTACATCAAACAGTGTCCCCTCTTCTTCATGTCTTCTACATTCAACATGTGTCCCCCTCTTCTTCATGTCTCTTATACATCAACATGTGTCCCCCTCTTCTCCATGTCTCTTCTTACATCAACATGTGTCCCCTCTTCTTCATGTCTCTTCTACATCAACATGTGTCCCTATTTCTTCATGTCTCTTTCTACATCAACATGTGTCCCCTCTTCTTCATGTCTCTTCTAATCAAATGTGTCCCCTCTTCTTCATGTCTCTTCTACATCAACATGTGTCCCTCTCTCATGTCTCTTTCTACACCAACATGTCGTCCCCTCTTCTTCATGTCTCTTCTACATCAACATGTGTCCCCTCTTCTTCATGTCTCTTCTACATCAGCATGTGTCCCCTCTTCTTCATGTCTCTTCTACATCAACATGTGTCCCCTCTTCTTCATGTCTCTTCTACATCAACATGTGTCCCCTCTTCTTCATGTCTCTTCTACATCAACATGTGTCCCCACTTCTTCATGTCTCTTCTACATCAACATGTGTCCCCTCTTCTTCATGTCTCTTCTACATCAACATGTGTCCCCTCTTCTTCATGTCTCTTCTACATCAACATGTGTCCCCTCTGTGTAAAGAGACTCTGAAAGTTTCAGGAACAAAGATTCTCTCTCTTTTTGATCCATTTCTATAAAAACCTGTCTGAAAATGAGCTGATCAGATTTTGGCCACTTTATGATGTCATAACGATATTTTGTCTTGTGTAACCATTAGCCAATCAGCAACCAAGGTACCCCCCCCCCCCACCTTATCACCTGAATCTCCTCCTAGAGCACCATTGTGTTCTTTTTAA